TGAAAATCTTGATATCCTCTCTTCCCCACAAGCATGCATTTCCAATTTTAGTATATGTGCTGCCGAAGCGAGCACAGCATGCATTTCCTTCAGTATTCCTGTGCCATTAAATGACACCCATCAGTCCATAGCAAAGCCTTCTGGCTCACCTTCAGAAAATACAGAGTCTGGCTGTTTCTCACCACCTCCACCATCACCACCCTGGCGTAAACTGCCATCATTTCCTGCCTGGATGGTTGGAGCAGCCTCCTGGCTGACCTTCTTGCTTCCAAACATTCACTCCCATAATCTGTTCTCTACCCAGCAGCCAGAGTGGTCATTTTAAAAAGATCATGTCATTTCTCTGTTCAGAATCCTCCAAATGACTTCCTGTATAATTCGGAATAAAACCTAAAGTCCATTCCCTGCTTACATGTCTGATCCCCAGTTATTTCTTTGACTCATCTCCTATTAGTTGCTCCCCTCACCCTCCGTGTTTCATGCATACTGGCCTCGTAGCTGTCCCTGGAACCCAGGCACATCTTCACCTCGGGGCCTTTGCAGGCACTGTTACCTCTGCCTGGAGTACCTTTCCCCAGTTACCTACCCAGCTTCCTCCCCCACTTCCTCTAGTTTTTGTTGGAATGTGACCTTATCAGACTGCATGTGGTCCTTCCTGAGCACCCTGGGTAAAACGCAGTCCCCACTTGCTCATGCTCTGTCTACTTACCCTGCTTTATTTTCCCCCCATAGCATTCATCCCACCTGAAGTCATGTGATTTACTGCTCTTTTTTTATTGTCTGCCCTTACCCCATTAAAGCATCAACTCAGTAAGAACTTGGGCTTTGCCTATTTTGTTTACTGTTGTATTCCCCAGCACCTAGAATAGTGTCTGGCATATAGCGGGCACTCAGTAATTATTTGTTGAGTGAATAAAAGGAAGAAAGGAGGAAAGGGAGAACGCATGGAAAAGAGAGGCCTTAGAGTCCCTAAAAAGAAGGATTTTAAGGAACTACAATACAAAAGTGTTTCTTTAACACTGGGCGTGAAGAACCTCCAGACGGTTTCCTTTGAGTGCTGGGTCTTCAAATTATATGGTTCATTCACAGTGTTGCAAAAACATTGGAAATTAAAATTAATTCCCTCTAGGAGGAAAAGTCTCTTTGTACTCATGATCACAAACTTATCAATCAGTAACTTCGTTATAGTTCTCTTAGGACTTAACAAATGAAAATGATCTGAAACTTAACATCCATTTTATCATGCACTTGGGAATTTTGATGTAATTTTAATTAATAGAGAAATTATGTTGCAGGTTTATTTATGTACATTACAGATGTATGAAGCAACGAAATCACTCGTTGACTCTTGTTACCGAGTTTGGTTTTTGTTGTTGTTGCTGTTGTTTTGGTCGTGACTTTACTCTTTCTTACTGCCTTCTTTTCTCATTGATATTTCAGTAAGTTTTGTTTATTGACTTTGTTCCTTACCATTCTGGGAGGCAAATAAATCATATACTACTATTCTCCTAATAGGAAAACAGTATCATCCTAAATGGATCTGTGATGGTCAGCACCACCCGCCTACCCAGTTCCTCCAGTGGAGACCAGTTGGGTAGTGGTGACTGGGTGCGCTACAAGCTCTGCATGTGTGCTGATGGGACACTCTTCAAGGTGCAAGTAACCAGCCAGAACATGGGCTGCCAAATCTCAGACAACCCCTGTGGAAACACTCATTAGAAGAACCCCAGAGGTCATCAACATGTTTATATCTTGACTTGACTTTTTTATGCATGCAAATCATTGTTTTTACAGAGTGTGTGATAACTCATAATTATTTTAACGACAGAGCACTACTGTATCTGCTATATGATCTACATCGTTAAAATCTCTGAGAGCCTACATTCTACTACATTTTATTAAGTTGCACTAATTTTCATATTTACTGTTCTCTAAAATAATTATGAGAAGTGAATAAAATCAAAATTAATGTTTAAAGAAGTGTTTTTAAAATTCCACTAACCCTTTTCTAATAGACAAAGGGCTGAAGCAGCTGTTTAGACTCACTGTAAGTAAACTGTGGTAACTCTAATGGGGATAGACCCACATAAGATATTTGATGTTTTATGCTCTGCCTTTTGGCTTCTGCAAGGAAACATGCAGATTTCTGGTGTATTAAGCTTGAGTCGTATTCTCACATGCAAGTGAAGTCACTGAAGAACTTTACATATGCAAGATAAAAACAGTGGTCCCTTAATTTTGCCCCAGGAAGAAAATATTTCCTAATAGAATGCTTATTTGCAATAATGATAAACATCGTGTTCACAATGTGATAGAAATTAAAATACCATCTCAGCTTTAACTTTCAAATAATAATGATAGCTATCTTTACTGAGCATTTTCTACATCCTAGGCATTGCACTAGGCATTGCACGTTTAATATCCCTAATTCTCACCACAACCCTGCAAGTAGGGGGTATTATCCAAACTTTACCCATTCAGAAACTGAAGATCAGAGAAGTTAAGAAATTTGCCCAACACCACATAGTAAGTAGCAGAGTTGGAATTGGAATTCAGGCGTGATTCAAACCTGGATGTGCTTGATTCCAAATGCCATGTCGTTTTCACTATGTGCGCTGACTTTTTAATTATTTCAAACTCCAGAAGGATGGAAAGATTAATTTAAACTTACCCAAGAAAATGAGAATCAAACAAAACAGATATGTTTACTCTAGTTAAAAGGAAAGTAAGTCTCATGCCAGACCCAAAAAGGATCAATCACTGTCAGATTTTAAACTATGTTGAGCCAATTCCAAAATATTATACCATGGAGAGGTCAAATTTACCTACTTGTGAGTTACCTCAGTTTCCCAACCAACGGACCTTGGCATACTAGAGTAACAATGCATAACACAGTTGCCAAGATATTTATACCCTTAGCCCTCAGGGCAACACAGTGGAAAGTGGGGAGGCCGTAGACCCAAACAAGTCTTACGGGCCGGGAATGGCCTGGTTAAGTATACCATGCCTTGAAAATAAGTCTGGAAGCACTGGACTAAAGAGTGCAGATGCAGGAAATAATACACATAATTTTTAGGTAAGGAAAGTAATTTATCTCTGCTCCTAATATTACTATCCCACTGTAATTATTGATAACCCTCAAGCCAGTTGATTTTTTAATATATTTGATTGGAAAAGAACTCTGTGGTATTATTAAGACTCAGAATCAGGGACAGGGCCCTCAAAGGAGTTTGCTGTACAATAGGCAGTAGAGATGAGACATGGGCCCATCCCTGCATTCAAGTGTAACAGCATTCTGTCAGGGTCACTTTGAATTGTGTACATAAAAAAACCAATACAAAAAACAATTTGTACTCAGTATTGTCACATTTCTCTCTGGTAGAAAAGTCAAATACCTTAGAGATTATGAGGTCACTAAATTATACTGAAATTGGATTGACTTACTACCTAACACAGAGCACAGTTTTTAACTGAAAGAATGAGATTTATAACCTCTGAGTGGAGTTGCAGTGATATTTGAACTCATTTGAATATATTCAATATCATTTAATATCTGAATTGTATTCAGAAAAACAATTGCCAGAATTTTCATTCAGATGCTCAGTAAATTAAATTGCGTATTAATTACTTGTCTGCTCTACTTAGATTTGTTTTAAAAGTTTAAGTAAATATTTTTACAAAAACCAGAAAACACTATATTACATAGTATTATTTATTAAATGGAGTTCATGAAATAATCTATTTTTACTCTTTTTTGAGAAATACTTGTGTTTTTGATACATCTGCATTAAGTGCTTTTGACATGAGAGGCTATTCTGATGTTTTTCTAGAACTGCTTGTTATCAGGAATAGTATTTTAGGATACTTTACAGGTAGTCCTGGCTTTTTCCCTGAAACGTAGACTTGGAAAATCTATTGGAAAGCAGAACAGGAACAAATTCTTTGTTTTACTTATGGCTTGTTTTTATTCACAGTAAACCTTCAACAACTCATTCTCTCTACCAGCTGGTATTTTTCTATAAACTGAAATGCTGACTTTGCCTCTTCCTGCTGTACACTCATCCCTGCACTGAGCACGGAGATGAGGAGCAATAGCCACGGGGGAGGTGGGAGACAAAGACTGGACCCCAGGAGGGGGCGCAGGTACATGCTAGTTCCAATTCCCACAGTGTTTTAGAGGCAGGCTGCAATGACAAGGGGGTAAATGAAATCAACGCAAGATTTATTAGGGACTAATGGGCAGACGGGAAAAATGTAAAACAACACAAAACAGGAACTGCCTATAATATTTTAAAATAAACTTATTTGTGTTTTTTTGCATTGTAAAAAAGCAAAATAAATTTTGTGTGATAGTTTTGATGATGAAAGGTGGAAGTTCTACCTAGTTTTGAATGAGTTTTTTTTTTAAGGGAATGAGAACGTCACGGTGCTAAACTTGACAAAGAAGAGACCATTGAAATGCTGAAAGTGTTGTATGAAGGGGGCAAAGATGGCCAATTATGCCATACAAAAATAAGCCTATAAATGTGTTTCAGGTTGCTAACTTGAGTTTCAGTTAATTCAGTTTGTAATAACTAGTTATGAACTTCTGTTTACAATAAAAATTCTGTAAATTGCTTGCTGTTAATATTTTGATGGTCATATATTAACTGGTTTCTACTTAGTCATGCAAATGTGGTAAATTTAAATATGGATTGAAATGGGACACTGTCAGTATTTACGTAATCTCTCTGGACTCCTAGAACTCAAAGTTAGAAAGCTGTTCATTCCCAGTTTTGAATGCCCTCCCCTCTGCTCGTTGCAAAAGGCCCCTCCCCAGTGGTGCTTCCTTAGTGTCCTAGGGGAAGGTGCACACTGTCACCATAGCAGGAGGCCAGAGCCGGAGATGAAAGGGTGAGGGCTGGCCACTGAGCAGCCTTCATGGCAGGATGGGTGGAGCCTCAAAGGCTCAGGTCTTAAATCCCCACCTGGCTTGATCCAGATATCCACCCATTTGAAAACCACCTGGGATACAAAGGTATGTCTTAGAAGCAATGTTACTTACCAGATCTTGTCCTCAACCGAAGTAGCCTCTGTTGCTTGTTTCCTTCAGTTTTGGAACCTTTTCTTTCTTTTATGTATAAATGAACTCTTCATTTCCTTTCTATAATACTTTGTTTACTCTGCTGCCTTCTTCGTATCTTTCACTCACTGACACGTACACCTACACACCCAGTATTTCTAACTGCTTCCTCATACTTCAGCTTGACTATGTCCATTCTGAAATTTACATTTTACCTAATTGTTTCTAGTTTTGTCAGCAACTTTTTCTGGAGTTCTCAGTGGTTCCTTACCTAATATCTATAAATTTATAAATAGTATAATTTTTTTACAAATTAATACCTTTCACTTTAAGATACAAGATTGTTCTTGTCTAGCTGTTTTGAACTCAAACCTATCATGTATAAATCTCTGCAACTTAGAAAGAACCAGGGCGATTTTAATTCATGTCAGCTTAAGAAAAAGTATTTTTCAACCATGTCTTTCTCTTTAATACTACAGAATAATGTGCCTGTGAATGATGACTATATTTTTTTGTTGCTGATGTTGTTAGATTAGCTTGGTGCACAATGGTATATATAATGATTTCATCTTTGAATGTAGGAACAGATATCTTTCTTCCTGGGCAAATCAATTCAATTTCTGGTATTACATAAAAAGCACACTACAAAAATAAATCACTCCTCCATGCTGTAGGACACCTTTGCAGTTCATGGCCATGTGTACTTGAATTTAGATGCCCTTGAAAATATGGGAGGATTGACCTTGCATGAAACAAAAGTTTTAAAGTTACATTGTAAATTTCATTCACTTCACTCTGTGTATTTATTTACACACAAACAGCATAACCCAGTGGCAGACTGCAGGCTCTTAAAAATATAAAACACAAGAAAGAAAGAGAGAGAGACAGAAAGAAAAGAGAAAGAAAGAAAGAAAAAGAAAAGAAAGAAAGAGAAAGAGAAAGAAAGAAAGAAAAAGAAGGAAGGAAGGAAAGAAAGATAGGTATGTTCCTTCTTTTAGGGAGCTCAGAACAGATACAAAGCAAAGCAGTAGCAATGCTGATTGTTACCAACGTGTTTCCATTCATTCAATATTCACTGAAAGATTTCTGTAAACATAGACAAATACTGAGGCTAAATCAGGAAAAAGGACCAGGCCATAGAATGTGAGAGGAGTGGAAGAATACATAAGACTGTGGCTAACAGGAGAAAGTGTTGAACTTAGAACTAGGAATGAACTGAAAGTGAATTTCAGCATGAGATATGCATGTATTGTTCTTTGCACAAGCCACATCTTGTAGGCTCCACAGGCACTTATCAAGCCAGGTCATAAGTTTAGCTAGATAACCCAGGGCTTTAAATACCAACCTGAGGGATTTGGACTATAGGTAATAAGGAGCCCTTTAAGGATTTTAAATGAAGAAATAATAAAGGAAAAAACTTTATTGTAGGAAAATAATCCTTTGGAATCACCTATGATGGATCAAGAAGAAGGGAAGTCAAGAGGCAGAGACAAGAAAATCAGTTAAGCCATTTTAGCATTTCAGACTGCAGTGATGAAAACTAAACTGAGTGCTATTAGAACAGAAAGGAAGGGATGATTTGTTGGAAACTCATACTGAATAATGTGATTATTTGTACACATGGTGGTTTTTACGTGGAATTTAATTTAAAATCACAAAAATTATCCATCTTTAAAATTACTTTTGTGATACATTCAGCCATTGCAATTTATACTTCTTTTTTATAAACTTTCCATTCTCAAGAATCTTTGGTACAAAAGATACTTAATGTTTCTGTATCTTATTACATCTTCATGGTTCAGAGCCAGAACATGTATTTGATAACACATTACATCGTATATATCTAAATGATTTCATAATGATTTGAAAAGTTGCAAAAGCCACACCGCAAAGCTTATGTTTCTTCTATTTATGAAAAATAAGAGCCTCTTTTGTGAGTTGAACTTTTTACTCATAGAGTTATAGAGGTCCATGGTTTAGTGTAACTGGCTGTCATTCATGTAATAAACCACATGGCTGATTACAATGCTGCAGATAAGCATAACAGACTTTGCTCTGTAGTAAGGGCCTGCAAAGAGACAGAGAAGTCTTTACTCTTAGTTAGGCTTTATTCATCCCAAAGCACACTGCGGAGTGAACACTACTGGAAAAGCAGAGGTGACGCCTGAGTGAGTGTGTATGTCCTTTCTTTCAAATGTGACGTAAATGTAATTTTATGCTATAGCTATGTCATTTTAGCTAGGGAAGTTTTTTATCGCTATTTCTTAGATACGTCATTGGTAGCTACATTTTCATGCCCCAATAACTAATAAATCAAACATTCGCTTAAGTTGGCAACCAAGGCAAGATAACTTTCTTAAATCTTAAATTGAAAATTAAATTTTCTGCTTCTTATTTTCTGTTACTTTTTATATATTATTGTGAATAAGTCAATTCATTTTCCTTTTTCCAGGCATTATGAAAAACCTCTATTTCAGAGTCATTACCATAGTTATAGGTCTTAATTTTACTGGAATAATGACAAATGCATCAAGAAAATGCAATATTTTATTCAATTCTGAATGCCAATGGAATGAATATGTTCTGACAAATTGTTCTTTTACCGGAAAGCATGATATACCTGTGGACACATCACAGACAGCAGCCACTATGGATGTAAGTTTCGGTTTCTTTAGAGTTTTCTTAGAGTGTCACACAAGAAAAGAAGAATGGAAAATAAAACATCTGGACCTCAGTAACAATCTCATATCAAAAATAACCTTAAGCCCTTTTGCATATTTACATGCTTTGGAAGTGTTAAACCTCAGCAACAACGCCATCCACTCCCTCTCATTGGATCTACTCAATCCTAAGTCCTCCTGGGTGAAACGCCACAGAAGCAGTTTCAGAAAGAGGTTTCCATTGCTGAAGGTGCTCCTTCTTCAAAGAAATAAACTCAGTGACACTCCCAAGGGTGAGTACAGTTTTAACTAGACAGAGAAACAGTGCTTGCATGGAGTTGTTTCATGTCCATAAGAATTCTACATTTGTTTTCAGGTTCAAGGAGACAGCTGAAAGTACAGTAATTTGATCAGAGCACATATAATAAAGTTTCTTAGTGGCACTGGAGGTTACAGTATGTGAAATTTACAGTTAATGCAATTTAGTTTTCCATTAGTATATCTGACATTAATGTTACATGCATTTATTGAGACACTAGGAAATATTTAAGTGCTAAATAATAATGAGTGATTTTAAGTTACCTACTTTGAGCATCATATGTTTGTTAATATAGAAAAGCACTGAGAAATAATTAGTTCAAATACATTTAATGTATAAGGCAATTCAAATTAAATGTTGCCATATTAGTAATATTTTTCTTTTTTGAGTACATTTTGCCTCTTTCTATCTAGTTGTCCTCCAAAAGTACAGCAGAAGTATCCTAATATGACAGATTGATATGTAAACCTTCTGATTATCAAGGCAAAATCAGAATTCCTTATCCTAATGTCTAATAGGGTACTCCAAATCACCTCCTATTATCATAAATTCTCATCTGACATTCAATAGTGTACATATTGGAGTTCTTTAATGGATACACCAATGTTTTCTTTAGAAAATGTACCAAGTTCACAAAGCAAAACTTCCTTTGCCCTTTTTATATTCCAGTGCTAGACAATTTTCTTGTTTGTTTTCAGTCTCGTTCACTCTTTGCTAAGCACCTACTTTATATAACACTATGCAGAAAAAAAAAAAAGTGTAAGGATATTGTCCTCTTTCTCCAATCCAAGTTGTGGAGATTTTTCTTACTACCCAGTTCTGATATTTCATGTTTTTATTTTCATGCTCTTTCTCCAGCTTTGTTATAAGCATCATTTTGGCAATAATAGCCTAGCAGGTATAGGAATTAATCCAGTCACTATGTCAGCAGAATTGTGTGAGAAGGGTGGGAGTCTTCTCTCCCTGACCTTCTCCGTAAAAGTAGTGTCTCATATTTTCAGTGTAAATGAATTGCATTTTATTTTATGATTTTTATTGTATTGTTTTTATTACAAAAGAATGCCTATTACTTATAGAACATTTAAAAACTGAAGAAAAATTTAAAGGGAAAAATTAAAGTCACTCATATATATTCTTCAAGTTTTTTATCCCTACTTATGCCTTTTTATTTCAAAATTTTATCATTCTGCCCATATTTCTAATTTGTATTTTCATATCATAGAATATGTTAATATCGTTATATAATTAAGCAATCTCAGAAGTATTTTAAATAGTTGAATAGTTTTTATATATGCATATATCATAATTGGTTTAATCAAGCACTAGGTTATTTCCAGGTTTTGTTTTTTGATGGACATCCTTACAGCTACATATATCCGTATGATATAATAAAATTTTTTTAACTGGTTTGGTAGATGTGAATCTCAATCCACAAATTCAGGTGTACTAGAAATAAAACCTTCTATTGTCTGTAGCAACATAATTTCTGATTCTGAGCCCCCATTAGGAGGAGTCGGAGGGATATTTAATTAACATCAGTCTTTCATCAGCTTTCCTCTGCCTTAGCCAGGATTTGTACTCAGTTCTAGAATCGTATACTCTAACAAAGCATTGAGGTGTGCGTGTTCCTTACTCCTGCTACCCAGAAAATATTACTTTTCAGTCTTTTCAGTTTGGAGAACATTTCTTCTCCCTTTTTTTCCTTCTGTCTTGAAATCACTTTCTTCTAAAGGTTTAGGGTTTTGGAAAACAAAAGCCAGAAAGACTTGTAGACTTACCTATTTTCTGCCTGGCCATGTGCTTTCCCTGGGACAATGAACATGGAGCCTACTTTCTGTGTGACTGGAGAGAAAGAGCAAGTGGAAAATATAGGGAGGCAAGAGATTAACATGTCAAAATATTACCGCACCGCAAGAGTGAATAGAGAAGTGCTGAGTTTCTCTCTTTAAGGTAGATGCATTCCCCTGAGCTAACTGCGGGTTGGGACAAATACAGTTCCACTTAAAGACCAAATATCCCTGTAAATGCAGATACAGTTCCATCTTCTTTTTTGAGTTAAGCTTCTACCTCCCAAAAGATCAAGAAACATGTTCAACTTGAAGAGCAAAGAAAAAAAGAAGTGAAGTGAGCAAGTTCTATATCTGAAATTCTATTAAAATTCTAGCAAATGAAACCATAGAGAGATGAGTGAAAGAGATAGATGTTAGAAGTTCAGTGTAAGCCATGAATCTGATTGGATATAATTCAGGGTTCTTTTATCTGTAGTATTTTGTGATTTAAATTATTTTCCCAAAATCATCATGTTAGTTTTTACTAGATAATATAAAATCTGGATAATATAAAATTTACTCATCAGATCATTGTGAGGATTAAATGAAAAAAAAAATGTATCTTCAAGGACCTAACTTAACATGGTATTTGGCATAAGAAATTGTGGCAATTTAAATATGTGAAAAGTACTTCAAACTTTTGTGAATTACCTTGTAAATGCTAGTTTTTATTATTCTATTGGAACAAATTGAGAATAACAGTATACTTAGAAACAAATTATATGTTTTTGTCTAAATCTAAAGGTTTGTTTGTTTGTTTGTTTGTTTTGAGATGGAGTTTCGCTCTTGTTGCCCAGGCTGGCATGCAATGGTGCCATCTCAGCTCGCTGCAACCTCGGCCTCCTGGGTTCAAGCAATTCTCCTGCCTCAGCCTCCCGAGTAGCTGGGATTACAGGAATGGGCCACCATGCCTGGCTAATTTTGTATTTTTAGTAAAGACGGGGTTTCTCCATGTTGGTCAGGCTAGTCTCAAACTCCTGACCTCAAGTATCTGCCCACCTCAACCTCCCGAAGTGCTGGGATTACAGGCATGAACCACTGCACTCAGCCTCAAGTTATTTTTTTAAATGTTAAACAACTATTGCAGTAGTAGCCCACTGTAATTCATAAGCAGATAATTATTTGTGTCTGACTATATAGACACTTGCAGTCATCTAAAATAATAATAATAAATTAGGGAGATCTCAGAAAGCAACAATTAAGCAAGCTTCGTAACTGTGTACCACATAGTTTAACATGGTGGCTGTCTCTAGAACCAATGAAAAGTTGCTTTCACTTAGGAAAGCCCGCTTTTGAAAGGGTGAGATATCACATGGACTAACCCTGACTTCAGAGTCAGCTGTGATGTCACCAGTAAGCTTCATGTTGGGAAAACGCCCAGAAGAGGTGCTGCCAATAAAATTGATAAAGCAGACGCCAGCCAGGAATTTAATCAGCATGGTGCTTCCACCTTCTTCCCATATTTTTGGAGTACAGCATTAATAACTGAAAAACTTGTGTAAAAAACACGAAAACAATGAGATCAGTCTCTGGTTACTCTGTCCTACCTTCATCAAGTGGTAGTTTTGAAGTGCTCACAGAGTACCTGGAAACGTAGCAGGAACAAAGTCTTGTTGGGATTCTGGTTAGGCTGATACACCAAATGTAGCAACCTCACATTGACCCACTAAGTTCCAGAATCCAAGAGATAACTGTATCAGAAATAAGATGAAATGATACCTCACATTTGAAACTGATGGAATTTTTAAAAAATACACAGTGTATTATAAAAAAAAAAGTATATTGTGTTCCTTTATTCATAGAAAATTAAAAATTTCATCCTGATTGCTACTGGATTATGGAATTATCAATAAGCTATGTTCTCAAAACTAATTCAAGTTCTAAAGAAACAAAAAGTATATAAGACACTAAACTGAAAAGGCAAGGCCTTTGGCTCACCTGCATAATTTGACCACAGTAAGATCTGACCTAATGAATCAAATATCTTACCCAGGCCCATTCTAGACTCTATTGCAATTCCTATTGCTCTTTAGACTAAAAGCCATAATCCCTGAATATTCTTGCTTTATGTTATCTGGTTGTCACACTTGGGAGAGCATTTAAGAAGTTCATAGTACAGAGGAAGTATTTACTAAGATAGTGTAATGCCAAGTATCCTTTCTGTTGCCTTTTTTCTGATAGACACATTATTTCTTGGAAACAATAAAACTGCCTCTAGCCACTTAAATGCAAAGGCTAATCAAATTCCTGCGTACTATGGCCTATGTAATCATTAGAAAGCAGTTCAATAAATAATTCCCTTTCCACAAAGATAATTAGATACCTCTGTATTTTCCTCCCAGCATTCAACTCTCCTCTCTTGAAAAATAAAATCTACCCCTGATGTCAGGGATGAATGCACCGTATAGCCTCTTTCACTCATCTGACTACCTCCTAAACATTGACTCACCAAGCAAAAATATTAAAAGAACACATTTTCCCCCACTGAGAAGTGCAGCCAAATACCATGCAAGAGTTTTCTTAAACTTCCCAACTCCATCTTGAGAGACCCTAAACAAACCAGGTTATTTGTAAGGACCAAACCAGTTCCCTTGAAAATATAAAATCTTCATTATCTAAAATTGAAAGTAAAGGAAAAGTTTTCATGCACAAGGAGTAACTGAACTTCTTGGTCTTTATTCTCATCTCCAGAAGACATTTACCTTCTTCTTGGGAAATCTCAGCTTGATATTATGAGGGGAATTAAATAAGAGGGTGCCCTAATAACTGCGTTCAAAATCACTCTCTCCCGGCATGCTTGGGTATCTTCAGGTCCCGTTCTTTTCATTTGGAGTACAGTAGCACAATCTCAGCTACTACAACGTCAGCCTCCTGGGTTCAAGAGATTCTCCTGCCTCAGCCTCCCAATTAGCTGGGATTACAGGTGCCCGCCACCACACCCAGCTAATTTTTTGAATTTTTAGCAGAGACAGGGTTTCACTATGTTGGCTAGGCTCGTTTTGAACTCCTGACCTCAAGTAATCCACCTGCCTCGGCCTCCCAAAGTGCTGGGATTACAGGCATGAGCCACCATGCCTGACCTACTTATTCTTATAATTCTTTTACACATCTTATATTACTCTATATACTTGTTTATTGACCTTAA